GTTGGAGTTTTCCTGGTTTTATTTTACTTTATTATATTTTATTTTATTTTGCTTTTCTTTACTTGTGTTATACTTTGTTTAAAGGCTGTAATTTCACAGATGATGAGTTTATCACTCACAACATACGCAGATGTACCACAAACCGATGAAGATGTATTCAAGTAACTTAAAGAAGTCCAGACGCTTTTCTTTCCAGGCTCCTTAGACTACGAGGACCTGGATGACTGAGAACCTTCACAGACATGTTTGGAAAAATGTACTCCTAACAGTACTTTTATTGCACCATGTTCATTCAGAGCTGCTGTAATATGAATCAAATGGCTGAATTGCCACCTCAGCATGCAGCGAAGTGCTATAGGGTCTTGCTAATGACCTACTAATTTTATCCAGGCTGCAACTTTACACATGGAAAAGTTTCAGGACAGCGTCCCTCGAGGACTGACGTTTGAGACCCCTGTTTTATCCTTTGAAGTTGTTGTAATACAAGAATGCTGCAGAATACAATGTCAAAAATGTGCATGGTGCTACAGCTCTTAGTAAATCTGGCCCTTCATGTTTTCTTAGATGAAATTAATCCAACCAACAGGGGGCAGTAAGGAATTACTTCAGGAAACCAAACTAAACCTATCAAAATAAAAGTCTGCCTATTTGCCCCAAGAGTACCTGGCTGCAGCCACTGGGGAGCGCCATATTGTGACCTCCACAGTAACTGGAAACACGTCAGTTAAATTGACTTTGACAGCGAAAACTAAATTGCGTTTTTGTTACTATTGATGCTGATGAGAAATAAACATGTTTTTAAGTGTTTTTTAACACTCCGGGTTTGTTAAAAAAAACAATCACCATCCCTTCAGCTTGTTCATGGACAAAAGTGTCCATGTCTTATGTTTTATGTTTTGTTTTTTTTGCTACTTTTCCTGCATGAAGGTTTTTTTCATAAATATAAAATATTCATTACTAAACACCTATTTCCTGGATGCACTTGTTTGAAGACAACCTCAAAACTCACCATTTCATATATCAGAACTCACACTTCATATTGTTTCTGCAGACGGCCGCACGTCTCCACGCTGAACGCTTCCACGAGACCGGAGCGTCTCCAGTCTTCTCTGTGACTTTCACACAAACTGAGGCCGGACATCATATCGGTCAAACGCACAGATCACTTCAGGAGCACCGCGAGCTCGGACGCAGTCTGAACGAAACCGACTGTAAGGAGCAGCGAGTTAGCAGTCGAGTGTTTTAATGTTCCACTTTAAACCAACGGTGGTTAAAAAATTCAGCTGATAACTGTTAGCGCTCTCCTGCTGTAGCGCCCTCCTCTGGTCCTCTGCGTCCAAACTGCTTCTGTTCCCTTCTGTTAGAAGTGGTCTGTGGTTCAATATCTGGTCTG